CAAACCCCACACCAAAAATAGTGCCGACATTGCACCATTTTTTTTCTTTTTCTACAAAAGTCCATAATTCATCATAAACCATAATTCATCATACCTGCAACAAAACATGAAAAATACCCTTCTTTAAAGTGTAATATCTTCAAAATCAGTGTAAAATAGGTATAAAAATCTCAACATATTTTTCTTTGGTCAATAACCCTCTGCTTTAGTCAGGTTGAAGGTAAGAAGCTCTAATTGTATGTACTTTTTAGCAACATCTCTCAGGTAAAGCCTTTCCTCTGGTAATGAAGCACAACATAATAGACCTAATTCTGCCAAAAGCAAACACTGTTGATGTTTTGCTCTTTTGAGACCTATCATGCTATCAATTTTATGTGAAAATGCTATTTTAACGTGTTTATATATTTTTAAGGTATAGTTAAAAATACTATCGGTAGGTCTTCTTCTGGTAAGTATCACTAATAGTGTTATTCCCAAACTATAAACATCTGTAGAGGTAAATTGGCAAGCTCCTTCTCCATATTTTACAAATAAAATGAAATTTTTTTTTAGATAATCATCACTTAAATTTGCTATAATACATTGAAAATGATGACAGAATTATATAACATAAACTAGTGGATTCATCACACCATCTGAGGCAGCATATCCAATAGTTACTTTAATCTCATTTGTGTTGGAATAATTTCGAATTGATGAACTCAAAGGCTTAGAAAATATTCCTGATAGTCCAAATCTGATAGGTGAGCAACCATGTTATCGTCAAGTAACATTTTATGTGGCTTTATATCACAATGAATGATTGACGGTTCACAACTATGATAAAAATACTCTAAAGCGTCTACAACATCGATCGATGATAATGTTCAATCTCTTTTCTAGAGAAAAAAAATGTCATCTCCATTATTCTCATATTCTTAGTTAGGCACAAATTTAAAAAAAGTGCTTTAAAATGTTTGCTTTTGTGATCAATGCTAGAGCATGAGGTTAGGACTCTGCGATGTTGTATGATTTTTAGAGCAACACATTTAGATGTGAAACTCTTAAAAGCTCCATGCAGTTTAAGGTTATAAACTGAACCGTATCTTTCACATCCAACAAGAGACGAAGTAGAGAAACTATCTGTAGCTTTAGCTAGTTTAGCATATGAAATCCTTGAAAATGAAAATCTTAAGGAAGAATCTGATATATTTTTGCTTCAACCACTTTGCTTTTTTTTCTATAGAGTAAATTGTAGCACAAAAAAAGGAGTAAATGTGCGACTAATATTGGGGTTAAAACTTTTGATTAAATGATCTTTTTTAGTTGATGATCCAGGAACACATTTTTGTAAATGAAGCTTTGATATTTTTTCACGTATTTTCTTATTTGCAATGAGATAGATTGCAAAAGAATTTACAAAGATGTCAATGTATGACACCTCACCTTCAAGATTATTAAATGATAGATTCAAGTTCTTTCGCTGGGCAAGGCTTTATAGAGTTTGAGGAATAGTCCAAGATAAATTATTATGTGAGAAGTCTAGTGTTCAAGATTTTTCAAGTTTTCAAATAATTTCTCTCCATTACTAATCCAAATAAATTTTTGTACCTATTGAGTTCAGGGATTCTTTCTGAAATATAATTAGATCCTATAGCGATTATTTGAAGTTCATAAGAGGTGTACAAAAATTCTACTTTGGTGCAATTAGTTAATGAATCAAGAATTCTCCACTCTTGCACATCACTTGCCTCAAGCTTATTACATTCAATATCAAGGACTTCCAAAATATGATGGCACCACTCCTGTGAAGTTAATTTCGCTAATGCACAATACACAAGGCTCGTAAAATTAGAACATATCCACAAGGAACGTGGAGAACTTCTTAAAGCAAACTTTGCGTGATAGACCAAGAGCATACATCCAAAACGTGATCAGATTGAAAATGCATTGGAACTTATCCAAAAAGAAGATCTTACAAAAGAAACCCACAACCAGGGAGTCCAGTGTCAGTGTTTGTTTTCAGGTCACGAGCAAGTCCCAAAGGAACGTATCCCTTTGGTAGATTGCATTTTGGGTGATGCCTAAAAATACTCATGATTAAGGGAATCATGCTTACACTTAAGTGACGACTAGTAAAGAGAGTTATAAGGATTGTTATCTTACAAGAGTATTTCGATGCTTTTAAAACTCTCGTTAAGCCACAAGACAGAGAACGAGTCTCTCACATCCTAAATGGGTAGCAGCTCATCGGCAATCAAGATCTATGAAATAATCAGATCAACTCGTAGTTTCTACAATATGCTTCCAAGGCCTAATTTAGTCATACGGGTAGAGGGTGAAAGACCATATCATATTAAAAATATCACAACTAATATCTTTTTGAAAGTGAAATACACCTTTTCTGGTATAAGTTTATAACACAAAGATGCTAGCATGTGGAAGCATCAAGATGTCATAACTATAACTATCAAGATTCGGGTATTAGATATGTAAATAATTAAGTATTTTGTGGCATGAATGTAAATTTACCTATGTGAAGGAAATTAATGATCTATCTAGTAAGAAAGGGAGGGAAAAAACCCATGAATTCCTTCATGAATTTGTAATAAAGAAAATTGTTGCTTCTTCAAACAATTGAATTTATTTTAAACTCAAAATTTGTTTCACACATTTCCCCAATGAATATCAAATAATTTGAGACTAAAAATTTTTAAACTATTTTGTTTTTAGTTTAGTTGAAAAATTGTCTTAAATTATTGAAATGAAATATCTAGGATATAATTTTTTAAAAAGTTATTTACAAATTATTATTATTTTTAGAAATTATTATTATTTTTAGAAGGATTAGAAGGAATTTTTTTTTTTGAAAATCCAAGTTCATTGTAGATATTTTTTTATAATAGTTGAAGGCAATATTTGAAAGTTTTTAATAAAAAGAAATTGCAAGACATTGATAAATCAAGCTAGTCTATCTACATGCATCTTCCAATATATTTTTCATCACATATTGAAAGTAATATTGAAAACATAAACAACTAAAAGTTATTGCTTCCACATACTAGCTTTTGTTCAAGAACATATCATTTTCATCACATTGAAGGCACGTAAGAAACACGAATTGCATGTAATTTTGCAGTAACATCTTTCATGGAAGGCCTTTCTTTTGGAGATGAAACTGAGCAAGAGAGTCCTAATTTTATCAGGGAAAGCAAGCATTTGTTGGTGCTTTGGCAACTAAACCATCTTGGTTGTTCTCCACCCCCTTCAGTATCATCTCTCTGCTCTTTTGTGAACATTTTAAGATCTATTATGTAATTAATTCCAAGAGGCAATATCGTTTTAATGTGATTATGAAGAGTTAAGTTATCACTAAGGTCATCGGTAGGTCATCGGTAGGCCTTCTTCCAGCTTCTTCCAGTAAGCATCTCTAGTAATACTATTCCAAAACTATAAAAATCTGCAGATGGAGACAAGGGAGCTACTTCACCATACTCTGTAGATAAAATGTAAATATATGTTTTCAGAAATTATGTCCTTAAAATAACATAAATTTTGAGAAGAAAAGACATGATTAATTCTAAAATTGAGAAGAAGAATCATCACATCACCTGGGGCAATATAGCCAATAGTTCCTTTAATGCCACTTTGGTAGGAATAATCTTGACGAGATATATTCAAATTCTCATAAAACATTCTTGAAAGTCCAAAATCACCAACATGTGCAATAATGTTTTCGTCAAGTAGAATGTTACTTGGCTTTATGTCACAGTGAATGATTGGTGGTTCGCAGCTATGGTGAAGATACTCCAAAGCTTCTGCAACATCGATAGCAATACTTAATCTTTTTTCCAAAGAGAGAACATCATCTTCGTCAATCTCATGTTTTTGGTGTAGCCACGTGTCTAAGTTTCCATTTGACATGAATTCGAAGATCAAAGCTTTAAATTCATTGCCTTGAATATCAATGCTCGAGCAGGAACTTAGGACTCGTACAAGATTACGGTGTCGTATGCTTCTTAATGCATCACATTCATCTGTAAAACTCCTCAAAGCTCCACGAACCTCAAGGTTAAATACTTTAATAGCCACAATAACGTTATATTCTCTTAAGTTGCCTGCATAAACAGAGCCATATCTTCCACATCCTACTAGGTGCGTAGTGGAGAAAGCATTTGTAGCTTCAACTAATTTTGCATAGGAAATTTTTGGATATGGAGGGCTTAAAGATAAACCAGATGCATTTCTTAAATCATTTTTTCTTTTTCTTCTATAAAGCAAAGTATAGCACAACAAAAGGATGAATAACATAACTACAATGGTAAGAATAGGGAATAGAATTTTGATTAAATGATGAGATTTTGTTGACGATGATTTGGCAACACATTTTGGCAAATGAAGTGTTAGAATTCCACCGCATAGTTTTTCATTTCCGATGAGAGATATTTCTGAGGAATTTGAAAAGACACCTTCATATGGCACCTCACCTTCAAGATTATTGAATGATAGATTCAAGTTCATAAGAGATATAAAGTTTTGTAGAAATTGAGGAATAACACCTGATAAATTATTATGTGAAAGGTCTAGTATTTCAAGACTCGTCAAACTACTTAGTGAAATAGGGATGGGGCCTTGGAAGAAGTTGTATCCCATATTTAATTCACGCAATGATTGACAGCTTCCAAGTGTTTTTGGAATTTCTCCACTCAAATTATTATTAGAAAAATCAAGGTAGACGAGATTTATTAGAAGACCAACCTCTACTGGTAGAGTCCCAGTGAAAAAGTTATATGACAGATACAAAGCAAATGAAAAGGAAGGAATGAAAAAAATATCTCTCGGAATCCCTCCTGTTAGATTATTTTGACTGAGATCCAAATAAGAAAGATGCTGAAGATTTTTTAGGCTAGAAGGTATAGGGCCTGTTAATTGATTAGATCTTAAATCCAACTCGCTAAGGCCTGTGAGATTTTCTAAGGAGTAAGGAATAATTCCCGTAAGATCATTCCCATCAAAAAATAAAGCTTGTAGCCTTCCAAGCATTCCAATGGTCTCGGGTATAGGACCTTCGAGAAGGTTCAACTCCATACCTAAAGCAATTAGATTGGTGTACCTATCAAGTTCGAACGGGATTCTTCCTAAAATGTCATTAGCTCCTAATGTTATTTGTTGAAGCTTAATGGAGAGGTTGCCAAATGATTTCGGAAGCCTTCAACGAAGGTTATTATTTTCAAGTCCTAACATTTGTAAACCGGTGCAATTTGCTAATGAATCAAGAAATCTCCATTCCTTTGCATCACTTGCTTCAAGTTGGTTACTTCCCATAGCGAGGTTTTTAAGATTATGCATTTTCCCAAGGTCTGGTGGCACGACTCCAATGAAATTATTTCTGCTAATGTCCAAAAGGAGTAAGCTAGTCACATTTTGAAGAGCTTGATCAAGTGAGCCAAGGAAATTATTTATACCAATAAGAAAGGCTTGAAGGTTTGGAAAAGCTTGGGCAATATTGGCTGAAATGTAACCAGAGAAGTAATTATTTGTCACTGAAACGATGAGCAGCGATGATATGTTGTAGAATGAAGAAGGAATGTTACCTGAAAGTTTATTAACAGCCACATTAAAATGTTTCAACTTTTGAAGAACACCAATCTCTGGTGGGATGCCTCCCTCTAGATGGTTATATGAGGCATAAAAAGTTTCCAAGAAGGATAGATTGGTAAGTGAAGGTGGGATGGTGCCGATAATTTTGTTTTCATTGAGATTGAGGTATTTGAGTGGCAACATGGAGTTTATAACAAGAGGCATTTTTCCTGTGATCATATGGTTGCTATTAAGGTCCAGAACTTGGAGAACAGAGCTATGGTTAATCGTCAGAATAGCATGAATGTCTCCATCAAAGGAGTTAAAGCTCAAGTTAAGATTTTGTAGTCGTGGTAAGCAAGCTAGAATTGGAGGGATCTCACCATAGAGTTTGTTGTCGCTGAGATCAAGCCTTCTCAAGAAGGTGAGATTGAATATGGAAGGAGGAAGAGGGCCGACCAACCCGACAGAATGGAGATCCAAGGCCGTGACTCTGTAGCGGTGTTTGTAGCTGCACGTGACCCCTTCCCATGAGCAAAAGTGGTTGGTGGCATTCCATGAGCTTGCGAAAATGATGAAAGAATCCACATTGCTTTGCTTTAGAACTTGATTCTTGAACGCAACGAGTGATTCATAGTCTGTATGACTTCTTCCAATTGCTAACAATTGTTTGGAAGATAAACAAACAGAGAAGAGAATAATTAAGAGTCTGTTAACACTAATAATTTCCACCATTGAATAACTATGATAGATGCCAGGAAACTAAGGTTCTAACAGGAAAAAGATAGCTACTTCGCCCCCTCTGCCTTCTTTAATTTATAAAAAGAGGGAATAACTGCATACATAGTACTTGAAACACAATTAATTACAAAACGAGTGGAATTCCAGTCAACCACATAATTAATGCATTTGTGGAGTCACAAAATGTTAAGTTTCTTTCTTGGTCGTTTGAATGAAATGATGATGATCTACCTTCTTTTTTGTAATTTTTTATGAAGAAAAATTATTATCCTCGTTTTCTTTTCTTTTTTTTTGTGCTTTTTATATCTACCATTCCATATAATCTTTAGGTTGTTATTAATAATGATGGAAGACTAAATCTTTATTTATTGAAAAACAAATTCAAATTGTCTTAATATCTTATTTTTAATTTCCAAATACTTAATCAAATATTTTTTTTTGTATTTTTTTTAATGTTAACTCGGTAGCAATCTCAATTTAAGTGATCTGAGCATTTATTATGCAGTTCAGAGCACAGGAGGGCAATCTGATTAATTTTAGGCCAATCCGCACAGCAATCTCAAAATGTTGTGCACATTTCTTAGAGCACCGGTATAATGGAATTGCAAATTTTGTTCATTTGAAGGGTGTTAGTGCATATATTTTAGAATGTTTTAATGAATGATGAATATTTGGTCTTTACAGGTCTTTAGAGGTGCTTTCAAAGTTTGGGTGGTCTTAAATTAATGCATTTCTATTATTTATATTGACTGAGAAAGATATACGACGACGACTCAATCAACCAAAGATTTAGTGCAAATGACTAATGACTTCATGTCTCAGATGAGGTGACTGAGTTTTTGTTTTCATATCTATCATTCCATATAATTTTTAAATTTAACAAATATTATTAATCATGATGAACAATATAATATTTATAAGATAATTAAATTTCATCCATTTCTATGACATTTTGTTTATTAATCGAATATGTGAAAATTTTAAGAATGATCAAACACTATGTAAATACATTTTTAAAATTGCTGATCTTATTCATATGTTTGATCACCAATTAGAATCATCCAATGCATGCAAGAGATCATCAATAACTCCTGTGTTTTAAGTTCAAGAGAGTCAACCCAAAAAGAGCTTTGATGTATCATCTTCTACCGAGAGATCCAACCCAAAAAATATCCGGCGATCCTTTTCCGATGACTCTTTTCCGACGACTCTTTAGTCAACAGAGTCGATGTAGTCATGGAATTTGGAGTGAGTTTACTTCACTTCAAACTTACATGCATACCCCCCAATTCCTATATATCTACATATCTAACACCTAAATGTTTACTTTTCTTTACAATTATACCCCCCAAATTTTGGTATCACATATAAAATATAACAATTATAAATTTTAGAAATTGAAATACACCTTTTCAAGCATATGTAAAATGCCATATAAGTAAAAGTTGTTGTTCAGGTTTTAAATATGTAAATACACAGGATTTATGTGGTAAGTATGTAAATCATTCAAGATATTTGTTGCCTTCGAGCAGGTCTCTCATGGAATCTGCATTAATCATAATGTTTTTGAAAGGAAAGTGCTTTCGGTCTCAACCATATATTTCCAACAAATGACTCGACTTCAGTTCACATCTCTTAACCATATTCGAGCAAGTTGAATGTCCACTTGCATCTGCAGCTAATAAGGTTATGATATCGATGTTAATTGTTGCATAAAGAAGTTATCATAAAATTTAAAAAAACTCTTGTCTAAAATCTATGAATACTCAAATAAATTTTGTTTTCAATGAAATTTAGTTTCGTTTAAAAATTATTTTCAATTAAACTTTAATATAAAAATTATCTTAATGACACAAGCCTTACAACACCAATAAAATATTTTGCCAAATCAAGCTGACTTTTGTTTCGTGTTGGAAAACTTGCAGTAATTGAATGAAAGAGATAACATTTAATTTTGTCGGTTTAGGGTTGCTCGCAATTGCCTACAAACTCCGCTAGCAATTAAAATATCGCTAAGACCAAATTCTGCCAAGGAAAGCAAACACGGTTGATGTTTTGCTCTTTTGAGACCTATGTTGCTATTGATTTTATGTGAAAATGCTATTTTAACGTGTTTATATACTTTTAAGTTATAGTTAAAAATACTATCGGTAGGTCTTCTTCTAGTAAGTATTTCTAATAGTATTATTCCAAAACTCTAAACATCTGTAAAGGTAAACTGGCAAGCTCCTCCTCCATATTTTACAAATAAAATGATAATTTTTTTTAGATAATCATCACTTAAAATGGCTATAATACATTGAAAATGATGACAGAATTACATAATGTAAACTAGTGGATTCATCACACCATCTGAGGCAGCATATCCAATAGTTACTTTAATCTCATTTGTGTTGGAATAATTTCGAATTGATGAACTCAAAGGCTTAGAAAATATTCCTGATAGTCCAAATCTGATAGGTGAGCAACCATGTTATCGTCAAGTAGGACTATGTGGCTTTATATCACAATGAATGATTGATGCTTCACAACTATGATAAAAATACTCTAAAGCGTCTACAACATCGATCGATGATAATGTTCAATCTCTTTTCTAGAGAAAAAATATCATCTCCATTAGTCTCATATTCTTAGTTCGGCACAAATTCAAAAAAAGTGCTTTAAAATGTTTGCTTTTGTGATCAATGCTAGAGCATGAGGTTAGAACTCCGCGATGTTGTATGATTTTTAGAGCAACACATTCAGATGTCAAACTCTTAAAAGCTCCATGCAGTTCAAGGTTTTAAACTAAACCGTATCTTTCACATCCAACAAGAGACGAAGTAGAGAAACTATCTGTAGCTTTAGCTAGTTTAGCATATGAAATCCTTGAAAATGAAAATCTTAAGGAAGAATCTGATATATTTTTGCTTCAACCACTTTGCTTTTGCTTTCTATAGAGTAAATTGAAGCACAACAAAAGGAGTAATTGTGCGACTAATATTGGGGTTAAAATTTTTGATTAAATGATGTCATTTTTTTTATTGATGATGATCCGGGAACACATTTTTGCAAATGAAGCTTTGATATTTTTTCACATATTTTCTTATTTGCAATGAGATAGATTGCAAAAGAATTTACAAAGATGCCCTTGTATGACACCTCACCTTCAAGTTTATTAAATGATAGATTCAAGTTCTTTCGCCGGGCAAGGCTTTATAGAGTTTGAGGAATAGTCCAAGATAAATTAATATGTGAGAAGTCTAGTGTTCATAATTTTTCAAGTTTTCAAATAATTTCTCTCCATTCCTAATCCAAATAAATTTTTGTACCTGTTGAGTTCAAGGATTCTTTCAGAAATATAATTAGATCCTAGAGAGATTATTTGAAGTTCATAAGAGAGGTGTACAAAAATTCTACTTTGGTGCAATTAGTTAATGAATCAAGAATTCTCCACTCTTGCGTATCACTTGCTTCAAGCTTATTACAGTCAATATCAAGGACTTCCAAAATATGATGGCACCACTCCTGTGAAGTTAATTTCGCTAATGCACAATACACAAGGCTCGTAAAATTAGAACATATCCACAAGGAACGTGGAGAACTTCTTAAAGCAAACTTTGCGTGATAGACCAAGAGCATACATCCAAAACGTGATCAGATTGAAAATGCATTGGAACTTATCCACAAAGAAGATCTTACAAAAGAAACCCACAACCAGAGAGTCCAGTGTCAGTGTTTATTTTCAGGTCACGAGCAAGTCCCAAAGGAACGTATCCCTTTGGTCGATTGCATCTTGGGTGATGCCTAAAAATACACTTGATTAAAGGAATCATGCTTACATTTAAGTGACGACTAGTAAATGGTGTCATAAAGGATTGTTATCTTACAAGAGTATTTCAATGCTTTTAAAGCTCTCACTAAGCCACAAGACAGAGAATGAGTCTCTCACATCCTAAATGGATAACAGCTCATCGGCAATCAAGGTCTATGAAATAACCAGATCAACTCTTAGTTTCTACAATATGCTTCCAAGGCCTAATATTGTCATACGGGTAGAGGGTGAAAGACCATATCATATTAAAAATATCACAACCAATATCTTTTTCAAAGTGAAATACACCTTTTCTGGTATAAGTTTATAGCACAAAAATGCTAGCATGTGGAAGCATCAATATGTCATAACTATAACTATCAAGATTTGGGTATTAGATATGTAAATAATTAAGTATTTTGTGGCATGTATGTAAATTTCCCTATGTAAACGAAATTAATGATCTATCTAGTAAGAAAGGGAGGGAAAAAATCCATGCATTCCTTCATGAATTTGTAATAAAGAAAATTGTTTCTTCTTCAAGCAATTGAATTTATTTTAAACTCAAATTTTATTTCGCTCATTTCCCCAATGAATATCAAATAATTTGAGACTAAAAATTTTTAAACTATTCTGTTTTTAGTTTAGTTGAAAAATTGCCTTAAATTATTGCAATGAAATATCTAGGATATTATTTTTTTAAAAGTTATTTACAAATTATTATTATTATTAAAAGGAAAAAATATATATATTTTTTTTTTTGAAAATCCAAGTTCATTGTAGATATTTTTTTATAATAGTTGGAGGCAATATTTGAAAGTTTTTAATAAAAAGAAATTGCAAGACATTGATAAATCAAGCTAGTCTATCCACATGCATCTTCCAAGATATTTTTCATCACATATTGAAAGTAATATTGAAAACATAAACAACTAAAAGTTATTGCTTCCACATACTAGCTTTTCTTCAAGAACATATCATTTTCATCACATTGAAGGAACGTAAGAAACTCGAATTGCATGTAATTTTGCAGTAACATCTTTCATGGAAGGCCTTTCTTTTGGAGATGAAACTGAGCAAGCGAGACCTAATTTTATCAGGGAAAGCAAGCATTTGTTGGTGCTTTGGCAACTAAACCATCTTGGTTGTTCTCCACCCCCTTCACTATCATCTCTCCGCTCTTTTGCGAACATTTTAAGATCTACTATGTGATTAATTCCATGAGGAAATATCGTTTTAATGTAATTATGTAGACTTAAGTTATCACTAACGTCATCGGTAGGCCTTCTTCCAGTAAGCATCTCTAGTAATACTATTCCAAAACTATAAACATCTGCAGATGGAGACAAGGGAGCTACTTCACCATACTCTGTAGATAAAATGTAAATATAAGTTTTGGGAAAATATGTCCATAAAATAACATAAATTTTGGGAGGAAAAGACATGATTAATTCTAACATTGAGAAGAAGAATCATCACATCACCTGGGGCAATATAGCCAATAGTTCCTTTAATGCCACTTTGG